GACAATGTCCCCAGTTGAGGTCAACAGCTGCCCACCTCCACTGTAAACAGTTTTGGCAGGGCACTGCTTACCCCTCCTGAGGCGCCAGACGGTTTGCCAGAATCTCTTCGAGGCCGACCAATAGTCCTTCTCCATGGCCTCACCGAACTCTTCCCACACCCGAGTTTTTGCCTCCGCATCAACCTGGGCTGTAGCCCGCTTGGCCTGCCAGGAAGTCTGTAAAACAATATGGCGAGCCACATACAGTACACAGGTGAAGTTAAGGCCAATTCAGGCAGAGCGCGTCTTTATTGTCATCCAATACATTAATACTGTCGTTCGGCCTGGTGTAAACCGTTGATCCGTCTGCTGTCGTTTCAGCTCATCGGGGCCAATGACTGACAGCTGCTCTGATGCTGAATTCGTGTCCTGCTTTCAGCCAAGCTGTGGTTATATTGTTGAGTCAAGCACCAGCAAACTGTTGAGGACTTAATTTAGCAACCGCTATAAAAACTTTTATAACTGTCACTGAAAAATAACTAGAATAAATGACTCCATATAATTATTAAGTGTTTGTTCACCTCCATAGACAGAGAGACATCATAGAGCTCAGAGAGGGACAGATGAGGAGAGAGGAAGTACGTGTTCAGGCAGAGCCCCCCACCAAACCCTTCTTGATCCACAGGAAACACTGGCTCCCATACCTAGCAGGATTTTACGCTATGATTAGTTGCTACATTTTAGTACCAAATTAAAGACAAAATAATCAATTGTCGGGCATTTTTGCTGGGAGATGACAGTAGTCGAACTGTCTGTGAACAAAGCTAGTGTGACTAAAAGTGCCGACTGGTCCTCTCAATATGGACAAAGAAATGCAATCTTGACAGCCTGCCAGAAGAGATGAGCAGACCACCACTGCAGCACCAAGTTGAGTCTGACAGGCCAGCAGCACTGTTAACAGCACGGCAGCATGCAAACACCCCTTACTAAAACCTGAGGAGCACTGGCATGTTTAAGCACATTTTGACAAATATGTTCAAAAGCCAGAATTTAAATATCATAAAGGTCATATGCAACATAAAACTACATACACAAACAATTATAGATCATGTTTATCAGATTAGCTGCACAATAGATCCTCTTTTCATCAGTGAGGTGAAAGCATCCAATCAAATGAGGAACCAAACACACAGGTTTAAAACAACACAGCACTTCCTCACTTCTGAAATCTCTTCATTCTACAAAACCTGGCCTAAAACTAAAAAGGTCATCCTAACTCAAAGGCCACCAGGCGCTCGCATTTGAGCCCCAACCCCAGGCCTGGCTCCAGGGTGGGGCCCCGGCTGCGCCATGCTGGGCGACGTCATGGTCCTTGATTTTAATCTATTCATAAGGGGCTTTGTCATTAAAACAGTGTTAGGAAATGAGGCATGTTCCAGATATGCCTGTACATGTACATTTACTTTTCCCACTATGCACCTCCTTCCAATTAAGCCTATATTATTACCTTGGAAAACCAGAACAGAGCATACACTTCAACTCTACTTGGCCACCACTATGTCAGCCTCAAGCTCTTTAAAGTGTGGCCTTGCATATGAATTGGTTGTCCTCAGTGCTGTATCCAAGGGAAAAGAATGTCTTCGAGCAGGTTTTATGGTTGGTGTGCTTTTCCAGTGTATGTGTGTAAGAGAGAAAACAGAGTGACTATCATGATTATCATGAGTGTTACCAGCATGTTTACTTTAATTATACTTTAAGTGCTGTTTGGCATGTTTCTGGATTTTTAATTGAATGTACAAATGTTATCTTATTGATCTGTGATGCTGTTTGTCTGGAGTGTTAACAGAAGCTCTAGCATTATGATCTTTCCATTTTGTGGTGAGACTTTCTTTGTGTTACTCTATCAAGAGTCTATTCAGATAGATCTAGTGTTTAAAGACCTGGGCCCCGAGTGTAGTATATTAAAAGCTAGTTCATTTGACTCAGGAGGCTTTGCTGAATGCGTCATGTCATGATGATAAAGAGCAGGTTGACAGTTTTACAACCCAGTCCAGTGTTGTGCCTCATCATTTCTAATCATGCATGGAAAAACCTTATCAATTTTGTGTTGACAAACTCATCCCTCTGCTGCAGCTGATTCAGAATACCAACATCAGGAGCTCATAGCAGAGTCATCTCTGCTACAGCTGAAGGATGGTGCTGTGTAAAATTTAGGTTTCTATAGTTGTTTTTTTTTTATAAACTGCATGCTTAAACATTTGGGGGCTGGACAATTTGACTTACCTGCCAGACTAGAGGCTCCAGTTCTGTGACAGTGTTGGCCAGACAGATGCTGAGGGTGACCGTGTGTGAGATGCAGGTGATGGCACTAGCAATAATGGCTCCTCTCATGGAGAAGGGCAGCATGGTGTAGACAACAAACACAATGAAGAGGAAGAAGGACACCTGGAAACAGGAAACAGGAAGATGTCAGCAAGTGAAGGGCTAATTTGTCCAAAACAAACCACATTTGTTTAAAGTTCTGGCTACTTTATTATCTTTCTAAGATCTATAAAACTAAGCAAACAAAAAGCAATGAATTAATTAACTACTCCTTGAGAGAAATATCCAGGCAAAAGTTTTCAAACCATCAAGCTTCAGCTATTTGTCTGATATACAGAATTGCATGGTGGGTAGTAAATATAGCATATTCCCTGGCATGGCCTAGTTTAACATCACAGGTTAACCATATTCTGAAATGCACGCATTGCAGTAATGACAGAAATTACCACAGCAGTGCCCAAATACACATCATAAAAAGGCCTGACATCCACCAGAAACCCACCAGAGACTGATGTTATGCATTATCCCTCTGTCTGCCTTTTGTCTAACTGCAGAATACTGAGAGTTGAGTCAGCCACCCACACCTCCACACAAAGAAATCTAAAACTAAACTCTAACTGCTGATCCTATAATAAATTATTAGAGATGAGTGGGCTGCTCACTTAGCTTTACAAATAAATAAATAAAATAAATCCAGTGATAAACTGCCTGGAACACAAAATACAACACACCAGTGTCCCAAATGTAGTGAAATATAATAGGCTACATAAACTGCTTGGATTTTTCCTTTCATATGGAAAAGCCACACACTCTGACTTACATTAGCTCTATGTGTGTGTGCATGTTCTTGTGCGTCATGCGTACATACACGTGTGTTTCCTACTGTGCTCTTCACTGATACCTTGTGCCTTAACCTCCTGCTTCATCCCTGTCTGCTTCCCTTGCTGTCAGTTCATCCCTTCCTGTTATGGTGGTTGTGATGGCCACCAGTGTGAATGGGTCCCAGTTTCAAATGGGACACCAGATGAACTTTGACCTTCCTGCCTGCCTGTTTATTTCCTGTGTTTTAAAGCTTCAGAGAGTCACTCTGTAAACAGAAATCCTATATTGTCCAACATTTCTCACTCACTCATTTCTTCTGAGCCCTTAACCTGCCACTGACAGATTTATGAAATCAACAATATAAATATTATTTTCAGTTACAGGTTATTTGGTGATGCATTACAAAGATATTGTTACTTAAACTTCAACCACTAACATGCAGTGTTTTGTCAAGCAAAAACACAAGAAGAACATTGAATATAAGTGACTGACTGACTGGTTGACGTAGTTCCTTCTTAAAGTCAACCTAAACACAGAGAACAATGAGATGTTTTGTGTAAGCTCAGACTTTCTATTGCTAAGGAAACCAACATAGGGAAGGATGCAGACAACTGAGCAAATTTGATGTTTTCAATGCCCCGTATAATTTGCCATAAACTTAACCTTCTAACCCTGAACTTCCACAGCAGAAAAAACTGAGGACAGAGGGAACATAGAGTGCACAATGTCTGGTTTCTCTGGGTGACTCTGGGAACTGAGAATGGCAGCCCACTTTCAGGTGCATCATCTACTTCCATCTTCACAGCACTCCTGCTAATATACCCTCAAACACCTCAAGCCATCAACTCCTTTTAGCCTCTTTGATTATTAGTTTTTTTTTTTTAAATCTCTTTCTTGTTCAGTGTGCACAACCTTTGTGTTTCAGGCAGAAGCAGCCAGATGTGCAACAAAAATGTTTTTCTCTCTGCTCACTTTAGCATTTAATGATTTTTCAAAAAGGGGTATCAACACACATAAACACACTCACACACAAGTCAGTGTGATGGTGTTGTGATTCAGAGGTAGGAGGTGTGTTCAATCTCCCTTCTGGAAAGAGCCATGGCCTTCAGAAAAATCAAATAAAGTCCAGACTAATGGGATAATGCAGCTAGATGGTGGTAACTCTATGTTGAGAGGATATTTTGTGCATGTGGGTGTCTACAGACAAAGGGTGAACATGTTTGGGGTGGGGCGGAGGGGTCAAAAGTGAATGACAGAGCAGAGTTCCACTTTCTCTCGATTTCTGTCGTTGTGTCTACTCCTCTCTCACTCACTCTCTTTCAGGCGTTCACTGTTATTAGCTCCACATGCTCCATCAGACATGCTGCTCTCTCAGTAATCACAATCAATCCAACTCACTGAGAGCAGTCTGCAGTTTCAACTGTGCTCTTTTCACCTGGATTTCTGCTTCTAAAAGTTTGTTTCTTTCTTTCCATTCAAAGTTCATTTCTTCTTTTCCTTTCTGTCTTCCTTGTGATAAACTATAAGTCACAGAGGGAAGGAAAACAGGTGATAGATAGATAGATAGATAGATAGATAGATAGATAAGGTATGAATGAAAGAGTCATGGGAGCAGAATAAAGTGATTAATGCAGAATGAATTATGCTCTCACAGGTGGCTGATGATAAAAATATCTCCAGCCCAGACAGGGAGGAAAGAAGGGAGAGATGTAATTTGGGCATGATGGGGGGGTCTTTACAGGAGAGGAGGAGGCAGGTGGAGAAGCTTTAGAGAGAAAAATGGGATTTGATGAATGTGGGGAGACAGGGAGCTAGCACGAGAAAATAGGAGAGAGAAGTCTGGCACAGACAACTAATGTGTCTGTCTGCTAATCTGCTCACCTCCAGCTCACATGCACATGCAGTCAGACACACACAATCATGTATGTACATGCAAAGAATTAAAATCTTTAGGGGAATGACGGGCAGCAACTGGTTAAGACTTAGGAGAGCAAAGAATTAGACAGCAGTCATAACTATAATGATTTTACTCTGTATAATAGCTTAGATTGATGTTTAGAGATATTAGTTGTTGATTTATTTAATTGTAAGTCAATCAAATAATGATTATTGATGATTTTAATATTTAGCTTTATTGCTTGCTGCTATGCTGTAACTCTTTTAAAATCTATGTAACATTTCTAAAAGGTTAAAACTCTCTCTCTCTTTATTGAGTCAGCTTCATTATTATTATTAATATTATCCTTATGGGTTTAAAATGGTTTCAGACCAAGTAGTGATGTTTAAAGCTGCATATGATAGTTAACACATAAACTATGATAAAAGTAGTAAATGTGGTTAATCTCTTAAAAAGAAAATTAATGATTATTGAAAATTAACATTAAACTATTGACATGATTTTCAGACAGTTGCATCAGAAAATACATCAGACAAACTAGTCAGCTGTTTACTCATTATACCATATACACTGTAACTTGAGTGTCCTATTTTGGAAAATAATTTATGTTAACAAAATACTGTGCAAAGCAAATATGGTCATAAGTGGCCAGTGTCACAGCTTTTATGGGTTATTTCAGACAAAACTCAACACTTCCTCAAAGAGCCAGAGTATACTGGTTCCTAAAACCTCTCAGTAGAGTGACGTCTGAAGGTATAAGGAGGTAGTTGCCTATAACTGCAGGTTGTTTTTATTTGGGAGGATTTGGGGTCTCATCCTGAATTAATGACATGTAAGAGGGAGGTCTGCAGGAAACTCTGTTTGCAGGTTCATGATAATCAATTACTGAGTCAATATCTCCATCATAAAACCTCAAGCAATGTTTGGAGCTTTAATATGTTTCAAATATGCCACCTTAGTGTGAGGTTGAGCTATGTTCCTATGTCCAGGGCTTAGCATATTGTGGCCTTCAGACAAAACAATGTCATGTAAGAATATAAATCTTAACAGGTGTAGCAACAACAACTAAGGGGTGGAGCTTAGTGAACAGTCAGTTGAACCAACTGCAGATTGATTTACAACCATAACTGCTGTTACATACACAATAGGCCCATAGATACAACTGCACATTTTTTAGAAACACACTTATCCAGACACAAAAATTACACAAACACACATTTATCTACCTGGTCCCACGGACTGAGTATCCCTCCTGAGAACATGAACATGTAACCCATGGTGACCAGACAGGCCCATATAAGGAGAGAAAAGAGGCGGAGCAGCCGCTTGAAGACCGACTCAATGCAGACGAGGATGAAGATGGAGAGGAAGAGGAAGAGAGCGGCAGGCACCGTGATAAGGAACGTCAAGTGATCATCTGTCTTCTGGATAGAGAAAAACAGAGAGACAGAGTATTATCAAAAACATTCACATTCTGGAAACACACTGATTTGCAGTGCATCCCTGTTTACACATTTAGAAGGCCACACACATACACAAATTGCATTATTGTATCTGTAAGGATGCTCCACTGAGTAGCCTATATTTTTAACCACTGTAGTGGGAAACATCTAGCAACTCTAAAAAGTCATGTTCTCTGAATAATGCTAGACCTTAGCACAGTATATGCTAAACTGTTAGCAAGGATGACCAGAGAAAGACCTACCAGAGACACATGAATACAATCTGAATTTGCTTTAAATATACTTTATACTTTCCTTTAACCTCAAACTCAACAAACACTTGTCAACAAAAAACTGTGCAGTTCTCCCTGTGTTTGTATGTCAGTGAGGACATTCAGTCCTCATAAGAATAGAGGTGCAATATACAGTACCATACAAACAGATGAACAGATGGCACACAGATCAGCAGACAGTCTGAGCCCAGAGAATGTGCTACAACATCACTTCTGCATTCACACTGTCAAAGTCAGCATTTAGAAGCTGTCAACACACACACACATTCACACATATATGCACTATCTCTGGCTTTCTGACTCCGACCAGACCTCTCTCACCCTCATCGTCTACACCAGAAAGCATTTTGGTAGCCTCACTTTGTCATTTTTACAGTTCAGGGGGATGTACACATCAACAAGACAGTTATATTAAAAAGACATTAATCTGGTTGTAGGTCTTCAGCTTGTTTTCAAGGACTTTCCCAGGACTTGACACCACTGTCGGCCTTTCTCTACCTTGTCAATATATTGATTCTTGTTCCTTGAAAATTTTCAAGTGCAAAAGATTTTGTTTTCTGAAGTTTTCATTTCTTCCAAGAAAATAACTTCACATCAGACAAAATGACTTCTTAAAACTATTTTACAGGTCCATTCTCCCTATCACTACACTGTTCTTCTTGCCAAACTTTTTTGAAAGGTCAGATTGGTTCTTTGGTCACTGCACTTGCATTTGGGATAGTTGGTTCCACTCTGCTAATTTACAAGGGTAAAGCTACTAAAAAAAATTGAACAAGTCCATATAAAATGAAGGCCCAGATCAGAGATTCAGGAGCAGGACCGTGCCTCTAACCACACCCTTTTCCTTTTAACTTTCTATAAATACTTCCATAATCTCAGCCACTTTCATTTTTGTAACCCTCCCTCCCTGTCTCTCTTCTATCTCCTTGTTTCCTCCTATCCTCTCCTTTGTCTTCATTCCTCCTTCTGCCTTGGACTCTTCTTGTCTTCAGGCTTCCACATGGGGGATCTGCCATACCCGGGAGCAGCGTGGATTCCTCATAAGCCTCCCTAAACTGGAGACCCTCAACTGAGCATCCATCTATACAGTCCTCATCCATCCAACATCACTTCATCTCGCCTCATGGACCCTGCTTTCTATGCCCATTGTACCGTAGGTGTGGTCCTAGCTAGTTAATGGTGATATCAAAAATTACAATTTAAAATGTAGTACACTATTTTCAGCTCATTGTAAATTACCAAACTGTACCACATATGCTCTAAGTCCAGACAGAGATATTATTAAAAAAACATTGTAGTAGCCTAATATGATACAGAGCTTAAAGTAGTACACAGATTCAGCAAACACACTTTTGACAATTTCTATTCCTTATTTTTAAACTAATTTTGATTAGGCTCTGTTATTCAGTGACTGGAGAAGAGGGCCTACAAGCAAATCCCCCCTATCAGTAGGCTGCTGCTGTAAGTCCTGTGTGTAAATTATAGAACAGCAGTAAAATCACCATCATTTGCTCAACGAGAGGACTGTAAACATGTCGCATTCACACACTGAGCACACTCTCACAGACTTGATCCTACCCAACACCCACGAAAGCCATTTGAAGTTATTCCAGAGTGATGATTGCACTGACAGGCCCAGCAGCTGCAAATGTTAAATTAGTAAGCCACTGTGTGATTACATGTCACTGATTTTACAATGAAATGAACATCGGTGTGAGGCATAGAAATGTAAAATTCTTTTTACGGGCAATTCTCTGGAGCCACTTTTAGGTAAGAGAATGAAAACATGTCACAGACTCAACCTTGAATTTCTGGTTGATTTGACAGTTTATTGACTCAGGTGGCTTCTTGAGAACAACAGAAGCTATTTGGCCAGAGCAAACGCAGAGATAGAGCACTTTGCCTTGCATTAGTGTAGCAGCATGAGTCAGGGTCTGGCAAAGGGATCCCATGGGATCCGGCTGCTGATGCTACACCAACTATACAATGAGCCTGGAGAGCCTGGAGTGCTGATTGAATCTCAATGAGGATGTAAGTAAGACTGCAAACTGCAAACAAACACCAGAGAGCTATCAAAGTGGATATCAGTGACAAAGACCATCCTTTAGCATCAAAATGCATTTTGCACAAAATGTATGCTCACCCAGATGTATGTGTGTACACAGGTTGGAGAGGGAAGAAGCCGTTTGTTCACCCCTTCAGTGGGGTGGGGGGTGGGGTTCTGAGTGCATTGTCACTCAGAACAATTATTTCCTTTTTTAACCCAGTCTAGCTTATCCAGCTGGGAGGAAAGTGGGGAAACAGGGAGATATAGCAGCAGCAAAAAAGAGACAAAGAAATGCAGTGATCTAATTATTCAACAGCAAAATAACACAATACATTAGTTCAAAAAATTAGGAGAAGGGAACAGGTGGCACAGGAACATGTGTTGAAATCATGACAATCCTGTACTTTTCACGTTTTGTTGCCAGTTGAATATTTATCCTGCCTGAAGGAGCAGCACTTGAAGCAAATTGAAGAGATCTGCTACAGATCTAGTTATGAAAATCATCAATAATCAACAAGCCTTTCCTGATTTATCTGCAGTGTAGATAATTGGTAACACACACTACTAAAATAGGTCAAAGGTTGCAAAGAATCAAGCCTGTGAACTTAAAGACTGTGATATAAATTAACAGCTAGCATAAACGGTATCTTTTCTTAACTCCTAAGTTCAAATGACACTTGCCTTGTCATGCATCTTTCTTATTTTTAAGAGATCTCTGGAAATTTTGTTACTTTGTCTGTGTAATCATAAATCCATTCATCACAGCAGCCCAGGAGAGGACTTCATCGGTACAGAGGGAAAAAATGGTCATTTCACAATCAGACAAAAAGAGGGCAGACAGCAGTGGAACAATGCTACTGAGTGGATCGAACCAGTTTGCATTCATACAAGCAAAGATTCACACCAACTAAAAAATAAATAACATACTGTACATGTGAAGATGGATGGATGGAGGATGTAATGGAGGTTATCTGAAGACTGCCCATTTTTAACATAAAGTCTGTGCTGCAAACTGGGTGAGTCAATTGGAAAGATATTTACCAGGTTTTAAATGAAAAACACTGCTCTCAAGTGGGTTGGCGAGGACATCAACATGACTGAGGGAGTCAGTGAGGATACTAATGGCACTGCTACTCCCACACCTGAGTGGAGTGGAGGTGCTGAGGCCAACCCTGTTCCTGTCCTGGAGCGGAACTGCAAGAATGACGATGCGGATGCCTCTGAAGCAGCTCTCCGGTGGGTTAAGGATGATACTACCACTTATGATCCAGTTCATGCCAGCAGGTGGGTTGGTAACTCAGCTCCTGTGCGCCAGCACCATACCTGCACTTACCTTGTTGGCACACAGGCTGCTCGCTCTCAAGATTCATTCACTATATGTGCAGGACATACAGAAAAATCTAAATACTGTTTCTTTCTCTCCTAATATTGAATGTACATACCATTTAAGAAACTAAATAGAATAAAAGTAGAATAAACTCAGAATAAATAGAATATGAAGACTGAATAAAAGTAATAAAGATAAACTAGATGATACAACCTAATAGGCTATGATGAAACTCAAAGCCATGTGCAACAGTGACAGTAGTGCAAATAATGACAAGAAGATTGTCAGGTGGTCAGCATCACCAGGGGCGTTGGTGATGAGATGCATAATAGCTTATGAAATGTACATGGACAGCAGTGCAAATGACCAACAGCAGCAGAAATGATGTTAAAAATCAGCAGCAGATTTACATGTAATATAACAAAAAGGGGGAATGTATTGATTTTGTGCAACAGCAGAGGTAGTCTTTTTATGTTCTGTGGTGGGTTCAGGTCCAGGGACAGAGGGGAGGAGGTAATGGACAGCGTTCAGCGTCCTCACAGCCTGGTAATGAAGCTGTTTGTAAGTCTGGTGGAGTGGGCCTGAAGACTCCGATACCTTCTACCTGAAGGCAGGAGTCTGAAGTGGGAGTGTGCGGGGTGGGAGGTGTCACCAGGAATGCTGATGGCTCTGCGGGTGAGGCGGGTGTTGAAGATGTCTGTAAGGGAAGACAGAGGGGCACTGATGATCTTACTGGCTGTATTCACTATGTGTTGCAGGGTCCTTCTGCAGGAGGCAGTACAGACTCCGTACCACACAGTGATGAAACCAATGATGATGCTCTCAATGGTGCCCTGGTAGAAGGAGCACATAATGGAGGGGTGGGGCACTGGCTCTCCTCAGTTTGCGGAGGAATTAGAGGCGTGTTGATGATCTATAATGTGGGGCTGCCATATGGATTTGTCAGAATAACGAGACAGGCAGCGCCCTTGTATTTCTGTTGAAAATCACTAGCATTAGGCAGTTCTCCAGTTCTACTAATCCTGACCCATCTGATATTCTTTTGCGTTCTGCTATCTTTGATCAGTTTGAGCGGGAGGGGTTGTTTGCGTCCAGAGGGATCCTGCCTGTCCTTGGAAGGGGTCCCATGTTAGAACACTTGCTTGGCCCCTAGAGAAGGTCCATCTCAGACACTGGTCTCTTGTTGGTCCCTCAGAAGGGTCCCACCACAGAGGTCGGCCACCTATTAGCCCACCATTATGACCCTCTCTTTGTTATTGGTTCCTGTGTGGCCTCCCTCCTGAATGGCTCTTTGCTTGATTACAAGGCCACCACCCTGAGTGTTTTCAGAGGTCAACCACCTGAATGGTCCCAGGTTTCTGTCCACCACCACCGGGGCTGCCCACCAGATCGATCTTAAGCTATCTATCCAGCTCTGTGGCTGCCCACATTAACAACCCCAGATCCTTATCTGCTGCTGGGGCCAACGACTGAAGCAAACTCAGTGGACTTGGATGCATGATGCATCTATCTACTTGTCAGTGAAAAGCTCTGGCTTTAGTTGTATTGATGAGGAGGAGGAGATGAGCTACAGTAAAGAAGAAGAGGGTGTGGGTCTGCCAAAATCAGCTTCTCCTCCATTTTCTTTGTGGTCGGTCAGGTTCTCCACAATTGGACGCGTCGAGGTGTCATCAAAAGTGTTGCGCCCAAGTTGACTTTTCTTTAACTTCAGCGCAATGCGAGGGGAGGGCACACATGACCTTGCGCTGCACTCGGCACAGCACATATACATTCTTACGCCGCACAACACATAGAAATGAATAGGTCTGATAGAGGAGAACAGTGCCCACCATGTCCTATCTGAAAAGAGCTTTAGGGAGTGCCCCTCTAAATAGCTCTACTTTTCTGTCTGGTCCCAGGGATGTCCTCCAGAACAGCCTCTTCCATCTCTCTACTCCCTGGCTGACTCTGGCTTGGCAATGCCAATGTTCCATTACAGGAAATAATATTGACCATCCATAAAATGAAGTTTAAAATGTAGGTACATACACTCACACACCTACTCACATTACACTCAACATAGCATCAAGGGAACAAAAATGAACAAGACATATTTATATAAAAACTGCAGATAAACTTAAAAAGGAAATCAGAGACTTCCTCAGACAAACACACCCAAAAAAAAAAAACATGTGTGCACATGTGGTATCTCATTGGTGGAGTCTTAACACCACATTCACTCACTCCAGTCCTGATCTGTGGGGAAAGATAACCGTGTGCAGTTATTACAGGAGCATAAGTGCTGCACTGGCTGGGGCTCTGACAGCTCACTGATAAAGTCAGAACAACGCCCTCTCCTCCCTCTACCTCCTGGCCCACACCTCCAAACCTACTCTTTATTTATTCCTGCCATTCTTCTACATCCATCACACATTTCACTGGACCACTCCATAACTACAGAAGGGCATGTCTGTTAATTAATAGGAACAAATTGAAATGATTTTATTTGATTTTGTGAATGAAAATTATCAGGGGAGACACAAGCGTACAGCCCCAGAACAAAAGGGGAACCTGGAGAATTAAATCGACTGGCTGCAGCAATAAAATCTATAGATTTGTCTTGAATAGAAGTGATCAGTTTAGGTGGAGGTTCTCCCTGCAATGACCATGTTTTGGAGTTCAGTTGAATGTAACAGGTGCTCAGTGACAGCCTTCTTGTGCTACTTATGACGCACATGCAGAGAAAAGCATAAGCCTGCAGCTCGTCCTGAACTGTAGCAGCAAAACAATAATTTTGAAACAACAACATCAGTGATGAGTGGGCTTCCTTTTATACAGCTATTTCATAAAAACATAAAAGCAATACTTGAGGAACAATAGCTTGTGTTTGTGGCCAAAACAACACTTTTCACTTGATAAAAGCCTCAACACCCACACAGCTGTGAACTAAACTCTCATCTCACTCTTGATCCACTTTGCAAACCCAGCGCTGCAGTTTAAAGTGCCGCATTACAGCCTCTCATGTTGTCACACATAATCACACACATGCACATTGGTCTCCCTCTCTCATTTGCTCTCATGCTAAAATCAAAACTTTTATTTTGACACTTTCCTGTGGTACTAACAAGGTGGATGCTTGATAATGCCATATATAGCTTGTAGCCATGCTGAATCTTTTATAGTGCTGTCATAAAATGTACAGCATTACAAACACAGTGGCCCTTTTCTGGAAAAATATAAACCTATTAAAGAGGAATTTAGTTTTTTTTTTCAGTGTGGATTATTATAAAAAGAAATTTAACTCTGGTCATACTGCAACTCAGTCACAGATTAGCACAAGATAAATAAGGCAAAGCAGGATCAATGAGCACGTTTGGTGAGGAGAACAAAAATCAAGTGATATGCCAGCATTTTAAAATGACATTTCATTCAAAGCAACCCAGCTGTCACTCATGTATCACACTCTGTTGTGTGAACAAGTTTGCAGGTAATCTTTTTTGTGTTGCTTATTGCATCTAACACTAAGAGTTAGGTGCAAAGATTCACACCACTTTCATCTCTGTACAGTAAATATATTGCTGGAGGCAGCAGCTGATTAGCTTAGACAGCATACAGATGGAAATGGGGAAACAACTGGGCTTTAGTAATAAAGTCATAAAATTGCTATTTTGCTGGCTGGTGGTTAACGTTTTTAAACTTTGATTTTTGTACAGATTAAACAGACAATATATATTGTGTTAATTCGTGCACTTTAAATGTGTGCGTAGGTGAATTTTGTTACCTCTGGATAGGCTAGGCTGCTTATTTCCAGTCTTTATTTATCAAACTCTTTACAAGGAAGTGATTAAGCCAAAAATGTCTATTCCTTTTAGTTCTTTTGATTATTCAAAAAACCCAGAAGTGATTTCTGTTGATTATAGAATAAAACATGTAAGTGTGGCTAAAGTCATAAATTAAGTTTTATATTAGCATTGTAAAAATTCACAATAGTCAACAGATTAAACAACACTAACATCTACTTTCTGGGCAGATTACCTTCCCCACACTTCTAAAACTTAGACTAAACACTGATCTTTGCACTCACACACACACACACACTCTCTAACTCACCAGTCCTGAAGCGAAGAACACCGTCAGCAGTGCGAGGCAGGTTCCCATGACGATCAGCAGTAGGAACACGATCAGCGGATGCTGCTGGCTCATTCGGTAGTACGACTCGTATAGCCAGTCCTGGGGCTTCTCACCCTCCACGCACACCTCACCCTGGAACCCAGGACACCCCTCTCCCAGGCTCTCGGGCCCCTCAGCTCCCTCGCCTCCATCACTCTTCTCTAGCAGGTAGCGTCCACGTGTCCGCAGAGCCTCCTGCCACATGAGGATCTGCCTCTGGTAGGATGGTCCTGCTTTCTTACTGACCAAAACACATGCACAGAGAAGTGACCAAGGCTAGGTATGCTTTCACTCCCCTTCCTCTTCACCCTCAAATTCCACCTCTTCTTCCTCTTCTTGTTTTAGAAAAGTTTGGTTAGAAGTGAGTAAGGGATGGACTACTGAGCGAGACTTTTGAGCTCTTCTGGTTTCCCTTGCACCCTTTGCTGCTCCTTCTGCGTGAGGTGACACACTGAGTCAGGACAATGTGAAACCAGCCCTCCTCCTTCTCTTCCTCCTCTCAGAGAAGGTGGCCAGGCACTGGAGAGAGGAAATGAAGCTGCAGTTCCCTATCTCTTTCTTCTCTTCTGTGTTTGTTCTTTATTTTCAGTCAGTTAGACAGAAGGCAGGCAGCCTCTGCTCACCGCTCAGCGCTGTAGCTGCGACGAGGCAACATGTTACATTGCTGAAGTGCAGATGAGGACTGAGAGAGAGAGAGAGAGAGAAAATGGGAATAACTGGGAAGGGAGGGAAAAGGAGCGAGAGGTGTGTACCAGTGTGTGCATGTGTGTTTGTGTGTGTGTGTGTGTGGGGGGGTGACTACCGGGTAAAAGTGTGTGTGTGTGTGCTCTGTAGCTACCTATCAGAGCAAGTGGAAATGTGAAAATGGTGATGCATGAGATTAGATGTGTGTGTGCTTGCAAGGTACAGATAAAGAAAGAGACATTGTGTACATAAGAATTTGGCAGAAGAGGAGCAAGGAACTAGAGAAAGAGCTGTGCATGTTTGTCAGCATGTGTGTGTGAAAAGCAGAGTAGAAGTGAGTGACTGAGTGAGTGAGAAGGATTATAACAGCTGTGCTCACCAAAGTGTGGAGAGAGCAGCCGTGGCCAATATACAAAGACGGGAAAGAAAAACCCACAGATGGGGGAAGGAACAGGAAGAAGAAACAAAGTCAGGAAGGAATCACCTCAGGAGACAGAGAGAGTGTGGGAGGAAGGCAGATCGGTGTATCAAATGGGGAAGGAGAGGGAAAAGAGGGCTGGTAATTAGTGAACATTTGAGAGCGACACCATGTGTGTGTGTGCTGGTGGTGGTTGGAGTAAAATAAGATCTAACAAACCAAATTCCCAATATGCCTCACCCAGCTTTAATTTCTCTCTCTTTCATTTTGACTCCCGTTCTGCCAAGTCAGCCTCCCTCTCTGCTCTCATGCTGTGCTACATGTGATGCTCTGTGAAGTGTGAAAATGGCCGTGCCACTTCGTTCCTTTTAGCGGTCTAACCAGACAGTGAGAGAAGGAAACTCTGTAAGCGGAGGCCAATTACACTGCTTATCTGATCATAAATGCTGTGCATACTGCAAGGCTGAAGGCCATTTTTAAGAAACTAGGCATTATAATTTTAGAGATTTTAGAGAGTTGATGGGAATTTTGAAAACAAACTTTAACTTTGATTTAAAGATGGGGCTTGGTGAAAAGTGAGTGAAATACCAAAGTTATTATAAGGTATCCGAGGAGAACATGAAGGACTGTATCAAAATGTGTTCCACACTATCCAGGCAGACAATAAGTTACTTAACTGGTAAAAACTTTCAAGTGGTTGCACTTGAGCTCCTGAATGTCTGTACAGTGTAAGATTTGATTCTTCTTATAAGCTCTAGTTACTTTATAAGCTTTATTTACTTTTCATACCCCATCGTCATGTCTTCCGATGAGGAAGCAGTGTTATGTTTGCTCGTACATGGGAGAGTGAGTGAGCAAAAGAAAGGCAGACCCAGATAGCTGACTTCAGTGCAAGCAGTGATTTATTATAAACAGTGCAGTGAATGGTAAAATAAGGCAGGTGGAGATGAACAGGATAACCGGGTGTCGATCAGCAGCAGATAGCAGTACAATGATGAGATGGATGGAGTGGGCTGAGCTGCTGCGCTGGGGGTCACTCCTGAGCTGTTTGGTGGAAAACGGAGGTTACTGAGGAGACAGAAAGCAGGGTATTGTACAGATGGTAACTGGTGACTATGCATCGACCTGACCGGGGCAGACTAGAAGGGATGAGTGGAGACAAGGTCCAGAGGTAGTAGTCCGTGGAGGAAGAAAAACAGCATGGGAGGAGAGTGGCAGCAAGGAGTCCAAATATATAAAAATGACAACAAAAGGAGAAGGTAAAACACAACTGCAGCAGTGAGGGCCGGAGAAAACTAGAACAAACTGGCAAGGGAGTGATGTGTGAGCAGGGTATAAATAAGGGCAGAACTAATAAGGTGCAGCTGGTGACAATCAAGGGATGTGGAGCAGGTGTGCCAGGTGGTGTAAACAGGGGCTAAAAAAGAAAAGGTGAGGGAGGTGAGAAAGGCAGCTGCAGCTGGGCAAACCTGACAAACAGAGGCTGGGGGCCTGGAGGTGGACTCGTCCATCACCCAAGCTGAAGTCACTGAGGTAGTTAAGAAGCTTCTCGGTGGCAAGGCACCGTGGGTGGATGAGATCCGCCCTGAGTACCTTAAGTCTCTGGATGTTGTGGGCCTGTCTTGGCTGACACGCCTCTGCAACGTCACATGGCGGTTGGGGACAGTGCCTCTGGACTGGCAGACTGGGGTCGTGGTCCCTCTTTTCAAGAAGGGGAACGGAGGGTGTGTTCCAACTAAACTATAGAGGGATCACACTCCTCAGCCTCCCTGGGAAAGTCTATGCCAGGGTACTGGAGAGGAGAATTTGACCGATAGTTGAACCTCGGATTAAGGAGGAACAATGCGGCTTTCGTCCTGGCCGCGGAACACTAGACCAGCTCTATACCCTCTTCAGGGTGGTGCAACTCCAAAAGCAACGTTCAGATAGGTGTTACAAACCACACCCTCAGGCATGGACCTGTCTCTTGATTCTTCAGCTGAGGTGTGGTGGGGATTTGTAACTGCACCTGAAAAAACTGATTTGTGGGATACCTTCAAGCTGTGGCTTCCCTGGATTTCCATCCTCCACAAATACACAGAACCTGCTGAATGCATGCATTGCACCTTTAACTAGTCTCTGTATGGGGACGATGACTATGATGCTTTGTGGGACGGCTTTCTTCAGGGAATAGAGACATCACAGAGAACACCCACAGTTGATATTTAACAATTGTACATTGAGCCTCAAGGAGTGGCAGCTTTGGCTGCACTGCCCATTGAAATTCAGGACTTGTATGCCCTGTCTGAAAATTCAGCTCCTCATATCACTTTGTTAGTGGGTGAGGGAGGTGAAGCTAAGAACCTTGGTCCTATGGTGCATAGTTGTACAAAAGCTACTGATTGGCTGCCCACACAAAATAAGTATCTTCAGTATTCACCTTCAACTCAATGTTATACTATTAAGCTTTCCTCACAGTTGTCATTAATACTGGAAAAGTGTTTTCTTCCCAGGAGTCATGGCAGAGAGAATATAGATCACCTGCTCATTCAGGCATTGTTAGATAGTCTGCCCACTTTTCTCTGGTCCCCTGGACCTACAGTTGTGAGACTTCTCCATGTGGAGCCTATCATCATACCTCTACGTGCTGGGGCAGTACCAGTGTACAGAGCTCAGTATCCACTGAAGCCTGAGAAAATTAGTGGCATCCAAAACACAATTAAAGGGCTTTTGCAAGCGGGAGTTTTAATTCCTTCCCTATAAATCCGGTGCCTAAAGCTGGGAAACCTGACTACAGGATGGTTCATGACCTTCAATCTGTAAACAAACTTGTGGTATTTACAAACTATGCCACTCCAAATCCTTATACCATGCTCAATGCTAAACACAAGTTTTTCACATGCATTGATCTGGCAAATGCCTTTTTTCTCTGTGCCACTGCATCCTGACTCACGTGATTTGTTTGCTTTCACGTATCATGGACAACAACTTACCTACCCGCAGCTGCCACCAGGTTTCATTGACTCCCCTTTCATCTTTAACCACATTTTGTGACAAAACTTGAAGGATATATCACTTCCACCTGGGGTCACTTTGTTACAATATGTTTATAACTTTTTGTTAGCGGCTCCTGACTCAGAAACCATTATGACAGCCACTGGATCCTTGCTGTCACATTTAGCCTGGAATGGCTTCAAGGTCTCCAAGGACAAACTGCAGATTGGGAGACCTCGAGTCTCCTTTCTGGGACGTGTGGTGTCTGCTTCTGGCTTGCATATGACTGAGTCACAAAAAACTGACATTCTCTCACATTCTGAGCCCACCACTGTTAAGACCATGATGCAGTTCTTAGGGCTTATTAATTACAGCAAGAATTTTGTGCCCGATTTTACCGGCCTCGTGGCACCTCTCCATGCCATGCTCACAGAAGCGGGCTACAAGAACTATGGTTCTGCTCTGTTGTGGACTCCACAGGGTAAGGGGGGTTTTGTTGCCATAACAGGCTTTGGCACACGCATGTGCTTTGCATGCTCCTGACTAGAGTGTCAACATGGCACCCACCGAGGTGAACATGTTTGTGTGTCCCACCCTTGAATGCTGGCTTTCAATTCGTTTTTTTCTTTTTTGTGTATTTTTTGCTTTTACTGTGGTGCTCAAATGTCATGCACTGCTTACATACAACAGACAGGCATTGCTGGATATTGCCAACTCACAAAACCACTGGGAATTTACTGGTTTCATACCACCGGAGCTACAACTCATTGTTCGCTCCCGCGACAACAACAGCTACAATGGTGAGGACAGCGTCCTCAGGGAAGTCCCTGGAGCACTAGGCACAAGTGAGCAGGCTGAAATCAGGAGAGCGACCCGGAGGTGAGGGGGACTCCATGCTAGGCTAAAAGCTTGCGCTACCCGACCGCCACTACCCAGCCTCTTCCTAGCTAACGTACAGTCTCTGGAAAACAAACTGGATGAGCTAAGGACTAGAATTACAGCACAAGGGGAAATCAGAGAATGCTGTGCTCTAATTCTACCAGAGACTTGGCTTTCTGTCAGAGCTCCAGACTCCACGATTCAGCTAGAGACTCACTCTGTATATCGAGGAGACTGCACTGCTGCTTCAGGGGAGGTAAAAGGAGGTGGTGTGTGTGTGCTCATTAATAACTCATGATGTGGAGATGTACGGACTGTTTATAAGCACTGTTCACCAAGACATAGTTTTTATTGCTGAAATGCCAGCCCTATTATCTAGCCAGAGAGCATAGTGCTGTGTTT